TATATATATATATATATATAACCCTTGTATAATATACTCAACAGATTAGGGTTTAGGGTTTAGGGTTTACAGCAAAAGTGTCTCCTTTTATTGACGTTTTTATTATCTAAATAGATAAATAAATAAAATATTTTCTTTTCTTTCTTTCTTTCTTTCTTTCTTCTATAGCAATTAGGGTTTAGGGTTTAGGGTTTAGGGTTTAAGGGTTTAGGGTATATAAATAAATATAAATAAATATGCATATTGTTGCGGTTTATTGTTTTGCTGCAACCGCGCATGCAAAGTGCAGCAGCAGCAACAGCAGGAGCAGGAGCAGGAGCATATGCTGCTGCTGCTGCTGCTGCTGCTGCTGCAATTAGAGGATAGAGGGCCGGTCTCTTGCTGGTGTTGCTGCATCTCTTTGTTGCTGATCCTTAACAATTGCAGCAAGAAAGGGTACAATTGAATTAGGGGGGGCCCCCCCTGCATATACACCCGAGAGTACATTCCTAGTAGTAGTAGAGGGGGCCCCCCTTCCTCCTCTAATAATAAAAGAAAAGAGTTGTTTATCGATCCCTTTTCCTGCTGCACTTGCTGCTGTAGCAGCAGCAGCAGCAGCAGCAGCAGCTGCTGCTGCTGCAGCACCTCTTGCTGTTGTAGCAGCTACTAAATCTCCTGCTGCTGCTGCTGCTGCTGCTGCTGCTGCATAATGCATGCATCTGCCTACCATGAATAAGGAACGATTTTCTGCCCAATCTTCTTCCTCTTCTTCCTCGTCATCCCCAGCAGCTGCAGCAGCAGCAGCAGCAGCAGCAGCAGGAGGAGGAGGAGGAGGAGGAGGAGGATATAATAAAGGAGGAGGAGAAGGAGAAAAGAATAATAAATAAATATAATTAATAAATCTTAATCTATAATGAATAGGAGTAAGTATAGTTGTATATTTATATAAAAAAGATTTACTAATTAATTCGATGTATTTATGCCATGTATATTCCCTTATATAATCTATTATATTTATTTTTATTATATATTTATATATATTATTATTATTTATATTATTATTATTATTATTATTATTATTATTATTATTTATATATTTATTTATTATTATTAATAAGGAATAATCTATTATATTTAATTTATTTAATATAATTATATCTTTTTTTATTCCTTTTTTTATCTTTTTTATTTCTTCTTTTTTTATTAATAAATATAATCCTTTTATATACTCTAAGAAATTATGATCCCATAGTACTGTCTCTTCTTCTTCTGCTGCTGCTGCTGCTGCTGCTGCTGCTGCTGCTGCTGCTTGTGGTGGTGGTGGTGGTGCTGCTGCTGCTGCTGGTTGCGGTGGCGGGAGGTGGAGGGAGAGGGGAGAAGAAGAAATATCTCTTCTTCTTGTTCTTAGTATATGGGTAGACGTGTAAGAAGGTTCTGCTGCTCCTGCTGCTGTTGCTGCTCCTGCTGCTGTTGCTGCTGCTGTTGCTGCTGCTGTTGCTGCTGCTGTTGCTGGGGAGGAGGTATACGGGCTATTAGCTGAGAGATATAAAGAAAGAAAAGGAGACAAATAAATAAATAAATAAATAAATAAATAAATAAATAAATAAATAAATAAATAAATAAATAAAAATAAAAGGAGACAAATAAAAGGAAGAAGGAGACAAAAAAGGAGACAAAAAAGGAGACAAAAAGGGAGACAAAAAAGGAGACAAAAAAGGAGACAAAAAGGAGACAATTAATGACTTACTGCTGTCTGCGCAGCTAAGTAATGAATTGTCTCTTCTTGCCAGCAGCAAAGGAGAATCATTTGCTGCTGCTGCTGCTGCTGCTGCTTCTGTCTCTTCTGTCTCATCTGTTAACTCCTTTGCTGCTGCTGCGGCTGCTGCAGCTGCAGCTGCTGCTTGCTGCGGTGATGTATCTGCGCCATACTCTGCTGCTAATATAGTAGCTGGATCCCTGCTGCTGCTGCTGCTGCTGCTGCTGCTGCTGTTATTACCTTGATGTACACAGCGTTCCCTGCCTAACCCTTTAAGATCAAATACCTTAACAATACACCTACTGCTGCTGCTGCTGCTGCTGCTGCTGCTGTTGCTGCTGCTGCTGCTGTTGCTGTTGCTGTTGCTGCTGCTGTTGCTGCAGCAATTAATATAATTATATATAAATCTATTATATCTAATAGAATACATAGCAAGAAAGTATTTATTTTCTTGTGTTTTTTTATTATATATCTTATAAAACCCTAATAAAGGTATTAATAAGGAAGGAAAAGAATTAAATAAACAAAAAGAAAAAAAACATAAAAAACATAAACCCTCTTTTATTAATAATTTACCTTCATGACGATTTAATTCTTTTAATACATATTTCCTGCATAAATAAATAAATAAATAAATAAATAAATAAATAAATAAATTTATTTATTTATTTTATTTATTTATTTTATTTATTTTTTTTTTTTCTGCAGAGATTGGGGGGTTTTAGGGGTTTGGGGCATATTTCTAGGGTTAAGGGTTTATTAGGGTTTATTAGGGTTTATTAGGGTTTATTAGGGTTTATACCCATCACTAGATAGATAGAAAGAAGCACCACTCTTTCCTCCTCCTAAGGTGACATATGAATTAGTGTTTAGGGTTTAGGGTTTAGGGTTTAGGGTTTAGGGTTTATACCCATCACTAGATAGATAAAAAGAAGCACCGCTCTTTCCTCCTCCTAAGGTGACGAGTTTAGTCTTTTTTATTGACAAACAAAATTGATAATCATCTCCGCATAATAAATGACGTAATATATGAAACTGATATAACACACAAACCCTAAACCCTAAACCCTAAACCCTAAACCCTAAACCCTAAACCCTAAACCCTAAACCCTAGATTTTAAATCCTATATTCTGAAGGTTGTAGTTGAAAGGGTCTGTAGATGAGTGAATAAATAAATAATTGGCTAGCTAGCTAGATAGGACCCAGCTAGCTAGCTAGCTAGCTAGCTAGCTAGCTAGCTAGCTAGCTAGCTAGCTAGCTTATTTACCTGGGGGGCAAAGTAGATAGTAACAGAGAATTTATTGTTGCCTGTTGTCTGCTGCAGGTGTATGTGGTGCTCGCTGCTGTCTCCTGGGGCCTCTAATAGGGCACGTAAGGAATTAAGTGTCTCCTTTTCCCAACTGTCTCCTTTTGGGGGGGCCCCATGGGGCCCCCTACATCGGGCATTAGGGGTAAAGAATGGAGGGTCCCAACGAGGGGGGGCCCCCCATAGCAATGGGGCCCCCATCACACCCCTTCCTCCCTGTTGTTTACTCCCTACTCCCCCTCCTCCTCCTGTTGCTCCTCCTGCTGCTGTTGCTCCTGCTGCTGCTGCTGCTGCATCTGCTGCTGCTGCAGAGGCACTGCAGCAAAAAGAAGGGACAAAGAAGGAGCAGCAATTGCCATCACAACCAAGAAGACAGGGGCCTACTTCAAGGCCCCCTCCTTCGGGGGCCCCCGTCGTTGTTGTACCCTGTATATTAAGGGGCCCCCTCCCCCTGAAGGGGGCCCCCCTACCCATGGAGGGGGCCCCCGTCCAGCTGTCTCCGCACTTCTTCTTTAATCCCCCTAAGATCTCCTCCACCAACATATTCAACAAAGAGGGCACCAACAAACAATTATTCTTGCAAGGGGGCCCCCTTAGGGGCCCCTTTAAGGGCCCCCCTGTGGTGCCTTCTGTGGGCCCGCCTGTGGGCCCTTCTGGGGGACCTCTTGCTCGGGGTTCATGGGGCATTGTTGGGGGCCCCCCTGGGGGCCCTCCTGGGGGGGTTTCACGGGGCATTGTTGGGGGCCCCTCTGGGGGCCCTCCTGGACGGGGCTCATGGGGCATTGTTGGGGGCCCCCCTGGGGGCCCCCCTCGATGCATGCGGATGCCAAGCTTGACTAGTCTCCTTGTCTTTGCAAGAGCAACAGGACATCTCCCTAAGCAGCATTCGCATCGTTTGCTGCTGTCTGTACCCTCTTTTTGGGGCCCCCTGCTGTTGGGGGATCCCCCGTTAGCTGTGTCTGCTGCAGCATCTGCTGCTGTTCCTGGTGCTGCTGCTGCTGCATCTGTACCCTCTGCGGGGCCCCTAAGTTTACAATTAGTACAGTACCCACCGCAGCAAGAAAGGGTATAGGGTCTTAGATAAGAGGAGAAGCTGTGCTGCAGGTGTCTTGTTGCTGCTGTGCTGAGGGTAGCAGCAGCAACAGCAGCACCAATATCTTCTGTCTCCTTATTAGGAAGGAGACACCTGCGTATACACGCCGTTTGCTGCGCATGCACTGCAGCACAAACATAATCTAATGCATGCGTTGTACCCTTTGTTAACTCACGGAGACGATCTAAAGCAGCAGACTCTTGTACACTCCTGCTGCTGCTGCTGCTGCTGCTGCTGCTGCTGCTTTCACGTCTCTTCCCCGGTAGAGCAGCAGCAGGAATATATGCAGCAGCAGCAGGAGAAGCAGCAGCACCATACGGGGGAGACCCACCCTTGGGGGGCCCCTGGGGGCCCCATCTTAAGTATGGCTGTTCTGCCTGTCCTTCACGTACCCTCACACCATCTGCTGCTGCTGCTGCTGTTGCTGCTGTTGTTGTTGCTGCTGCTGCTGCTGATATTGCTGCTGGCAACTTGGATGAGCTCTGAGCATTCGGTGAATCGGAGCAGCAGTTCTCGAGCTGCTGCTGCTCGGCTTCTGCTGCTGTTGCTGTTGCTGCTGCTGCTGTTGTTGTTGCTGCTGGCTCTGTTGTTGTTGTTGCTGCTGCTGGTGTTGCTGCAGCTGTTTCTGTTGTTGCTGCTGCTGGCTCTGTTGTTGTTGTTGCTGCTGCAGCTGTTTCATGGGTTGTGCACGTTTGCTGCTGTGGGGTCGCTTGAGCAGCTCCTTCCCTCAATGCCGGTGTGGGGGCCCCTGAGGGCCCCCCCTGGGGGCCCCCTGGGGGCCCCCCTAGATGTTGTTGTCTTAATTCATTCTTTCTTGTCCTTTTATCTGCATAAAGACGCCATAATACCTCACAAGAGACACTCCGTCTCCTTCGCCACTGCGGTCCTGCTGCTGCTGCTCCTGCTGCTGGGGGTGATGCTCCTGCTGCTGTTGTTGCTGTTGCTGTTGCTGTTGCTGTTGCTGCTGCTGTTTGTTTTAGAGGGGAAGGATGCAACAGGAAGGGAGCAGCAATTGCTGGCCAATGTAATCCCCTTTGATTTGTTTTCCCATGTCGTGCTGCTGCTGCTCCTGCTGCTGCTGCTGCGTTTGTTGTTGTTGCTGCTGCTGCTGCTGCAGCAGCTCCTGCTGCTGCTGCTGTGTCAGGTACGGGCTGCGGCAAACCCGCCACCGCAGTTGGCAGCACAACGAAGCCTCCCTGCCTGTGTGGTGTCTCCTCAGCAGTAGCAGCAGCAGTAAAAGTTGGCACTGCTGCTGCTGCTGCTGCTGCTGCAGGTTGGCCTATACTTAAGGGAGTTTGCTGCTGCTGCAGCAGGAGGGCCCTCTTGAGGGCCCCTTCTGCTGCAGCAGCAAACAGTTTATTAAGAGAGCAGCAGCAAGACAAGAAATGTTGCCATAGATAGAAGAGAGACACATCGCATGCATGCAGCAGCCGCTCTGCTGCTTGCCAGCAGCAGCAGCTGCTGCTGCTAGCTGCTGCACCTACTTCTTCTGCTGCTGCTCCCCATATATCACCAAATACACTTAGTACATGCTGCTGCTGCTGGTCTTCTTCCTCCTCTGCAGCAGCAGTACCTGCAGCAACTAGCTGCTGCAGGGACACAAAGAATAACAGCAGCATTGCTGCTGCCTGCTGCACCTGCTGCTGCAGCAGAAGCAGATCTCGCTTATGCTGGACCAGCAGCTTGGAGACATCTGCCCACAGATGCCATACGGTGCCCCCAGGGGGGCCCCCATGGGGGGCCCCAGAGGGGCCCCCACCAATGGGGTCCCCAGGGGGCCCCACAGTTGAGGAGACAGCTGCAGAGCGACGGGAGGGAAAAGAGACGGCAAGGGGGGCCCCCTGGATTAGCAGCAGCTGCTGCTTCTCTGCTGCTGCTACCTGCTGCGCTACTGCAGCAGCAACAGAAACCATTAACTTCCTTCCTTGCACTATCCATGGCTCCTGCAAGAAACCCTAAACCCTAAACCCTAAACCCTAAACCCTAAACCCTTGGTCTATTGCAGCAGAATGAAGAGGGTGCTACACGTATATCCAAGTTTGGTGCTTCTACCTGTGCTGCTGCTGCTGTTGCTACTACTACTGTTGCTGCTGCTACTCCTGCTGCTACTGTTGCTGCTGCTACTGCTGCTGCTGCTGTGTACTTGCCTTGTGATGATGAATAGACCTCAAGGTCCCCTTAAGAGCAGCAGCAAGAGGAGACTCCGTTACGCAGCAAGCCCCTTCTGCTGCTGCTGCTGCTGCTGGTGCTGGTGCTGCCTTGGGGGCCCCCCCTAAGTACCTGCGGGGGGGGCCCCCAGACACAGCAGCAGCAACTTCCTTTGCTGCATCAAGAAGCAAAGAACGACCTCTGCAGCAAATACCTCCTGAGAGACACACATCTTCCTGCTGCTGTAAGGAGGCACCCGAACCAGCAGCAGCAGCAGCAGCAGCAGCAGCAGCAGCAGCAGCAGCAGTAGCAGCAGCAGCTGCTCCTGCTTCTGCTACATTTGTTTCTGCTGTTGCTGCTTCTTTTTCCTCTGCTGTTCCTTCCTTTATTGCTCTTATAATTGCTGCTGCTGCTCTTGCTGCTGCTGCTGTTGCTGCATCTGTTGCATGCAACGGGGCCCTCAACAGTTGCTGTGAATCTTCGTGTTTGCTTAGTGAATAAATGGGTACTATTTCGTGCTCAAATGTAAGAGTCTGCAGCACACAGCAGCAGCAGCAGCAGCAGCAGCAGCTAGGACAGCAGTGACTGCACCAGCAAGAATAGCAGCAGCAGCAGCAACAGCAGCAGCAGCAGCAGCAAGTGTTGGTGAGCTTACAGCGTTACCACAAGCAAAATAGAAGATTCTGTCTCTAAAGACATAATGAGGGCATCTAAAGTATCCCCCTTGCTGCTGCTGCTGCTGCTGCTGCTGCTGCTGCTGTTGCTGCTGCTGCTGCTGCTGCTGCTGCTGTGGGGTATAATTACACCACCGCATGCCGTCTCCTCTTAGTGTTGTATCCGTCAGCAGCAAATCTAAGAAATTAGCAAAGGGTATATCCCCTATCTCCTGCAGGTCTTGGGGGGCCCCCAGGGGGCCCCCCCCACACTTCTTACATGTTTGCCACCATACAACTTGAGGTAGGGCCCCTCCACCACCTGCTGCTGCTGCTGCTGTTACTGCTGCTGTTGTTGCTGCTGCTGCTGGCGGTGGTGGGGACGGTCCTTTAGGGTTGTCTGACTGTTGCTTGGAGTCTTCTTCACCACCTTCTGCTGCTTCTGCTGCTGCAGTTGCTGCTGCTGCTGCTGCTGCTCCTGTTGCTGCTTCTTGCACTTTAGGAGGAGGGAGAGGAGGAGACAGGAAAGGAGACACTTCGTTCTTATTAAAGCGCAGCATAGGGGTAGGCAGAGGAGACGCAACACGAGAGGGGGCAGGTAGTCCTTCCTGCAAGGAGACACAAACAGCAGCAGCAGCAGCAGCAAATGCAGCAAATGCAGCAAATGCAGCAAATGCAGCAGCTGTCTCGGCTGTCTGGGTTTAGGGTATATAGTGTATTATTAGGGTTTATAAATAAGGGCTTATTATAAACCCTTATTTAGGGTTTACAATAAACCCTTATTTAGGGTTTACAACAAACCCTTATTTAGGGTTTACAACAAACCCTTATTTAGGGTTTATTATAAACCCTAAATAAGGGTTTATAGGATAAACAGAGGGTAATTAGTGTTACTAAAAGAGTGTGTATTATTAATAAAGGTAAATTAGGGTTTATAATAATGTATAATTAGGGTTTAGGGTTTATATAATTAGGGTTTAGGGTTTAGGGTTTAGGGTTTAGCTAACAATAAAAGTAATAATAATACGATTAGTGTCTCTTGTTAATGCAAGAGAATGATCACGTAAGTGTCTCCTGCAGCGAGTGTCTCCTGCAGGGCAGCAACGTGCTGCTTGCTGCTGCTGCTGCTGCTGCAGCACACCGCACCATGCTGCTACTGCTGCATGCAATGTTGCTCCACCACCAAGTTGACCACTATTACTACCACCAGCTGCACCAGCAGCAGCAGCAGCAGCAGCAGAAGATGCTGCTGCTCCTGCTGCTGCTGCAGATCCAGCAGCAGCAGGATCAACAGTACCATCACCAACAGACCCAACTGCTGCTGCTGCTGCTGCTGCTGCTGTTGCAGTACTACAAACAGATCCACCACCAGGTGCAGGAGGAGTTGCTGCTGTTGTTCGTGCTGCTGCTGCAGCATCAGCAGCAGCAGCAGCAGCAGCAGCAGCAAAAGGAGTAATAGGACTAGTAACTAACTGTATAAAAGATTTATCCATAAGAGTACATTGCTGCAGTCCTGAGGTCCATGTACACCCCAAGGGCAGCAAATCTATACCTCTATCTAGGCACTGCAGCAGCAGCAAACTTAATTTATTATTGCTGCTGTCTCTAGCTGCTGCTGCTGCTGTTGCTGTTGCTGTTGCTGTTGTTGCTGGTTCTTCCCCTCCATCTGTTGCTGCTGCTGCTGTTGCTGCTGCGGGTTCTAATGCTTTACCTTCTGCTGCTGCTGCTGCTTTATCACCTGTGCTGTCATCTGCTGCTGCTGCTGCTGCTGCTGGCACTGCAGCAGCAGCAGGTTGTGAGTTGCTGCTGCATTCATCTGTCGTTTCCTTATCCATAAGCATTGACAACTTACCATCTGCTGCTGCTGCTGCTGCTGCTGCTGCAGGTGCAGCAAACCTACTACTACCACCACCACCACTGCTGCTGCTGCTTCTGCTATTGCTGCTGCTGCTGCTGCTGCATGCATCCTGTATATTATGCATGCACTGCAGCAGCCTCCTCCATTGATCATAGGGGCCCCCTGATCCAAGGGAGCAGCAGCAGCAAAATACCCATTCTTTTATTTTGTCCCCTTTATACTTTTTATCCATTATACCTCCTATATCTCCTGCTGCTGCTGCTGCTGCAGCAGCAGCAGCAGCACATACTTCTCTACTTAGGCTGCTGCTGTTAATGATTTCCTCGTCCTCCTGCTCCCGCTGCTGCTGCTGCTGCTGCTGCTGCTGCTGGGCAGCTGTTGCATCAGTGCCGTTGCTGCAGCACGAAGGAGACACTTCCTTTTCTCCGTCTCCTTGTGCTGTGTCTGCTGCTGCTGCTGCTGCAGCAGCAGCAGCAGCAGGAACAACAGGAGAAGCATCCCATGGTTTATGTGGCAGCAGCTGCTGCCTTTTTGCTGCTGCTTCCTCCCAAGAGACACAAGACATCATATCATTGCTGCTGCTGCTGCTGCAGCAAGCAGCAACAAAGCGCAGCTGCTGCTGCAGCGCGAAGGCAGCAAAGAGACCCCGCCATAAGACACGCATATATTTCTCTGCTTCCTGCAGCAGCAATCTATCTGCTGCTGCTGCTGCTGCCGCTGCTGCACCTGTTGCTGCTGCTGCACCTGTTGCTGCTGTTGCACCTGTTGCTGCTGTTGCACCTGTGGCTTGATCTGCTGCTTTGATTGCTTCTGCACCTGCTGCTGCACCTGTTCCTGCACCTGCTGCTGCTGCACCTGCTGCTGCTGCAGCAGCAGCAGCAGGGAGTACAAGACAGATAGTCCAGTAGTGTGTATGTTGGCAATCATAGAGAATTAGATGAGGAGGGGAGTTGGGGGTAGGGGGCCCCCATCTAACAGAGCAGCAGCCAACAATTTGCTCCTGCTGCTGCTGTTGCTGTTGCTGCTGCTGCTGTTGCTGCTGTTGCTGCTGTTTAGCTGCTGCTGCTGCTGCTAACTCAAGAGAGGCCCATATAGGGGCCCCTGTTGCCCTACTAACACGAAGGAGGGAGAGGAAGGAGACAGAGGGGACAGCAACAATATTAAGGGAAGTAAGCAGCAGCAAAAGGGACAAGGAGAGGGGCCCCG